TCTATTTATGTCACTAATGAAGCATAGCGGTAGTTCAGTCAGGCCATGGAGTCATTCTGCTCTGCCCAGCTCTCGCTCATCAGCTGAGCAGGCTCACTCCAGCCGATTGCCACGTCTCACAACCAGATCAGCTGATCTTATTGGGCACTTTATTTAAATCTGCTTCAGCCTCCCTGCCTCTGCTGCTTCCTCTGCATGCTGCTCACACCTTCAACCATCTAATGAGAAAACCTGAACTGCTGTCCGTGCTGCGTCTCACCTTGCTGCTCATCATGTTGACTCCTGTCTGTGATGCTGTTCCATGGCATGATGATAACATCTTGGAGACTCAGTCCCAGGGATCCAAAGCTAAGGAAGCCTCTGGAGAAGGGAGCCCCATCGCCACCCAGCACAGCGCTCGTTTAGCAGGAAAGACTCTCCCGACTCCCAGCATCAATGATTGGCCAGTGCCAAAGCTCCTGGAAGTCTTATTTAAAAATCAAATTGTCACTCCAACTGGCGCTTCCCACAAAGATTTGTTCGTATTATTCATGTCAAATGTCCCCTCTTAACATCCTCTGGCAGTCCTGTCATCCCCTGCCCCGAGGAAATGTTCAAGGAAGAGAAAAAACACCTCTCACAATTCTGCTGCAACTCCTGTCCCGGCAGCTAAGCAGGCACGCGCCCCTCCATCCACCTCTGCCACCTCGGAGGCCAACCTCGTCCTGTCCGCTCTGTCCGACATCCAGCCATCGATCGACAGCATGAACTCTTCCAGGCCCTGGAAGCAAACTCTGCATCTTCGGCAGGCACCTTCTTCCCGAGTTTGGCTCCTCGGCTCAGGGATGGGCCCTAGCTACCACATAGACTGTATATACTATGGACAACGTGGTTCCACCTTCTGCCTGTATACAGATTTGAAGCCAAAAAGCTCTCAGTATTTCCAGGATTTTTCTTCATTTCCCAAAACCAGCGCTGTGCAGTAGCAATGCACGCATTCGGCCGCGCAGTCACCGAGAGTCGCTGTGATGACATTCGGCTCAAACAGCGTATCCCCCGGGAGAGCTACGCAATCCCTGAATGCCCATAGGCTGTATCAGGTGTCAATCATAGAAAACATGAACCCCAAAATAACTTTTGAAAATGGAGCTGTACAGAAAAAAGGACTTGAGCACAAACCAGTCTTACTGTAACTACATGTCAACATCGCAAGCAGGGGGAAAAAAATTTATGTTCTGTGTAATAAATTTCTAAAGTTTGTCCACAGCCCCATAAGCTTTGCTGGCGGAGGCGGTATATATGACCTATACTGCAGCCCATCAACAGAGGGTGCTGTTCTTGGAGTGGCTTCACCCAGAAAGGAGGCAGACTCTGTCCATTCTATATACAGTCTATGGGCTACCACTTCACTGACAGGTCCAGCACCAGCGCAGGACAACAACGTCTCCCCTGTGAACTTCGATTGCATCACCTTCCCACGGAGGACACTGGGAAGTGCAGTTCCCATTTCCTCCGGCGTTCCGTTCTTTCCCCTGGCTGCTGCAATCTCTCCCAGTCTGGGAAGCCAGATTCTCGCAGGTAACAATATCAATCTTGTAAAGATCCTGCTGTGTTCAGAGCTCTCAGATAGGTGTATCATGGAGTGTGGTGATATGTCAGTTCTACTCATTGGCGTCGTTAGGCCTATTTAAGGGGGGCTGAAGCCCCCCTAAAATATTCTTTAGCCCCCCTAAATAATTTTATATATATATATATTTTTTTTAAATATATAGATATATATTTTACAAAAAAGTGCAGACAAATTCAATACAAAGACGCAGGAATATGAGTTTAAATAAATAATAATATAACGTCATTGTTCACTTAAATATGATCACAAATCATTTGGTTTCCCCTGAATTCACTGTGTAAGGTGGAGAGCCTTCGTCAGCGCTTAGTTATTCAATCCGTTCCACTTGTTGATATAGAGAACGCCCACATTACTGAAAACAGTCCGCTTATTCACTGCTGCCAGCAGCAGCACCTACATGCTCCCTGCACACAGTCACAGCGAGACGGTCACGTCACGAGCCAGGCAGAGAGCAGCATCATGGACATACGCAAGTTTTTCAAAAAAGTAAGCCTTTATAGCTGCTGGTAGTAACAATAAGCTCCAGCTAATAGCAAATAGTCCCATGTAATTTATGAACCAGGTGCTCCCCATTTTGAGAAATAAAAACCTGGCTGTCACACCAAGTTAAATTGTTAGCATGATGTTGATTTCTGTCACTTGTTTTAGCTCTGAAAAAAGCGAGCTGAGCTCATTCACGTATGATTATCATCAGTGGAAAATAATAATGCACTAATAATACTCACCCCACCATCCCCACTGACCTGTAGGAGTCAGGACAGAGGAGCACAGCAAGTGAGAGGGGAGACACCTCTACTGGAGAGGTGAGTCTAAAAGAATTCACAGGAGTGATGCAGACAGTCTGATTAGAATTTTATGGAACTCAATATGGATATGAAATATAAAATTTCAGTCATGGTGCACCATATAAGACTTATTTCATTTGAGTTTTTATTTAAGACAGTCAAGATTAGAAAGTGGAGAGAGCCAAGAGATAAATTAGCCTGACGAAAATATTTTTGGGGGTTCTATTTTAATATTACTTTAATTCAAGTAATTTAGTAATATTTTTCAGGGCTTTAAATTGCAACCATTTTAGTCACATATGGGCCCAAAATGTAATCTGTGTAACATCTTACTATTTGGGAGCAAAAAATTACTGTGGTGTGTGAGCTTAAGTCATGACATTAGCCTCTATGTTGGATTAGTTATTAATTCAATGCGTTTCAATGTATCTTGGAGGGTCAGGCAGAAGGAAAGGCTGAGGAGCTGCAGCAAATGGCAGAGGAAGCTGAGAGATGAGAGCAAACAGGCCAAGAGAGGGAAAATAATGAAGCAGCTGCAGCAACTCATTCCACTACAGGGTTTGATTTAGGTGACAAAGACACAGGGCCCAGACAGGTCAAGCTGAAGAGCTACCCACAAGATAGTTTTGGTACACAGAAGCGAGCATTTCACTACAGCTGGTTTGAAAAGCGCAACTGGTTAGGATATTCAGTCAACCAGAATACAGCTTTCTGTTTCCCATGTAGAGTGTTTGGCAAAAACATAATACATGATAGTTTGGTCAGTAGTGGTTGCAAGAACTGAAGAAAAAACAGACTGAAATAAAACACAAAAAACTCCTGGTGGCCTGAGACTACATCTTAGTTAAATCCGTCCAAAAAAGCTGAAAAGCAATTTCTCAGTCTTTGTTTTCTGTTTGTGAAATTTTGTGCTCGCTCACTACGTTCACTCACATCCTGTTCATCTCTTGGGGGCTAAGCCCCCCCTGTCCTTAAAACCTAGTGACGCCCCTGGTTCTACTTAAGGATAGTGATCCTCAATTGTCAAAAACTCTGACTGGCCGAATTTAATATAGCGTTCGGTGTATGCCAAGATGTTACATGTGAAGTTTACCCATCTCGCAGAGCAAAGCTCGATACATATCTAGCCATTGTCTCGGACCATGCCATGTCATACAGTGGGACTTTATTCTATGAGTACCATAAGTCATTTTCCGCTAAAGCCGCCATGGACATCCAACGTGTCAACCAAAGACTGGACTGGTCAGTTGTTGATCTGGCACTTATCAGCAGACATTTCACAGGGCACCAGGCCCTCTCCTGTTCATCTGCGGCTCTTTTTCTCATTCTCCAAAACTGTGCCCAAAAACTGCAATTCCTGATCATTCATCCAAATCCGTCTCAGGCCCCCAGCAGGAAAAGTCCAAGGTGACGCCGCCCAGGGCAAATATTGCAAATATTTTCATGCTTGTAGTTACTGCGGAGAAGGGCATCCAAAATCTGTGTGCCCGAGACGAAACCACTACATGAAGAAGGCAAGAAAAAATAAAAACATCAATGCCAGTTAACATCTCTGAGCTGGGGAAAGCATTGGAAAAGCATCCAAACCGCTGCTTTGTGAATTATTTGATCACGGGTCTTGTTCAAGGTTTTCTAGCTGGACTTATTTGGATTCCAAAAGTCTTTTGTATGTAACAATCTGCAATCTGCTTTGAAGGAGCCTGGGGTAATGGATGAACTGCTGGCAAAAAAAGTTAGAAAAGGTTTCATAATCGGCCCATATGATAAATCTCATTTTCCTATAACTCGCATTAATCCTATAGGTGTAGCTACTCACAAATTCTCAGGAAAAAAGCGCTTAATTGTAGACATTTCTGCCCCTCACAATGATGAAACTCAGAGCATTAATAGTCTCATCCCTCTGACACCCTTTTCTATGTATTACACTACGGTTGATAATGCCATCAGCTTTGTTAAGAAGGCCAGCAAAAATGCGTGGCTAGCCAAAGCAGGTATTACAGATGCGTTTAAAGTCATGCCTTTGCATCTGACTCAGTGGCACTTATTTGGCGTCAAGTGGAGGGAAAAAATGCATTTTGCAGTTAGACCCACTTTTGGTTGTCGCAGCAGCCCAAAAATATTTGACACCCTATCAGAGGCACTCTGCTGGATCCACCTCTACAATTGTAGACTGCCTTTCGTGGTCCACCTCCTGGATGATTTTTTGCTGGTCGATTATCCACACTCTAAGCCAGATCGCTGCATTTCAGCCCTCAGGCGTACCTTTGCCATACTGGGTATCCCTCTTTCAGAGGAGAAGACGTTAGGTCCGCAACATGTCATTGAATTTCTGGGTATCACATTAGATAGCTGCTTGATGCAAGCCTCTCTGCCTCTGGAGAAAAGAAACAGTAGTTCTCACTGCTTTCTATGGTTTTCTCAGAGGCAAGGAATTCACTACAAGCAATGTTTCCTTTAACCCTTGTCACAACCTCACTATTGCTGATGTATCACTGCACCCTCATTACTTCACCTTACCTCTGAAGCATTCCGAAACTGATAGGGATAAGAAAGGAATATTAATCTACATTTTCTTCATTAATTCTGCTTTTTGTCCTCTGTCGTCCATGATTTGCTTCCTGAGAAGCTGCCCTCATGCTACTCTACAAGAGCCGCTGTTTGCTACTGAAAAGGAGAAGCCCATGTCCAAGGCCTGGCTGGCCTCCCACCTGCACCTCCTCTGCCAGACCTGTGGCTTACCTCCTGATCGCTACACCACCCATTCTCTGCGCATCGGTGCAGCAACAACAGCAGCTGCATCAACCTCTGTGGCAACGCTGAAATTAATGGGCAGATGGTCCTCATCGGCTTATGAACGTTACCTCCGTCCTGGGGCTAAAGACATTCTGGAAGCTCAAAAAGCAATGGGTGCCCTATGAATTATTGTAATAAATGTGTGAGATCATGCAAAAGCTCATTTATTTTAAGGTCTGAAAACTATCTGAGATGCAGTGATTTATCTGCTTTTCTAATGCAGGCTGCCTGTTGTCATCACTCATCGCTAATGGTGTACTCATATGTGCATACGAGTGCCTGGTGTGTTGTTTTGGGTTTTTTTTGCGCTGCCTCCCTCCCTCAGGCTGTCCAAGTCGGCACTTTGAAAGGCTCGGAGGAGTGCGCTCCCTGCTTCAGGCCGCCCATGTATGCACGTGGAAGGGGAGGGAGGTCCCAGAACAGAGCCACACCGCCAAATCTTAATCTGTCATGTTATTGTTGTGTAATGGCAATGTAATAAATTTACTTGACAAAGTGGTTCTGACTGAAATGAAGCATAGCGATAGTTCAGTCAGGCCACGGAGTCATTCTGGTCTGCCCAGCTCTCGCTTAGTAGCTGATATGGGCGGGCTATCCCGAGCAGGCTCACTCCAGCCGATTGCCGCTTCTCACAACCAGATCAGCTGATCTTATTGGACGCTCTATTTAAATCTGCTTCAGCCTTCCTGCTTCTGCTGCTTCCTCTGCATGCTGCCGACATCCCACCTCCTCCACAGCTTCTCCTATTATGTGTTCTCACGTACCAATGACAGTAAAGTCATTTATGCTTGCTCTGCTGGGTTTTTTGTGCTGCCTCTCCCCCTCAGGCTGTCCAAGTCGGAAGTTGGAAAGGCTCGGACGAGTGCTCTCCCTGCTTCAGGCTGCCCATGTATGCACATGGAAGGGGAGGGAGGTCCCAGAACAGAGCCACACCGCCAAATCTTAGTCTGACACGGTATTGTTGCGTAATGGCAATATAATAAACCTTCTTGATAAAGTGGTCCTGTCTGAATTGTATTTACGCTTATTTTTGTTAAAAACATTTTTAATTTAAGTGAAATTTTTTGCATTATTTAACATTATAAATTGTATTTCATTTATTTAAAGATCTTGAACCTTGCTTACACAGTCTATTCATACGTCCCTCCTTAAGCTGTGTTGGCAACAGGGTGACCAGACAGCATCCTGTTTATTCTCAAAGGCTGATGTGGGAACAAGAATAAAGAAATAAAATACTGAGGTCAAAAATAAACACAAAACTGGCAAAATGCTTAATGAAATGGGCACCATGCAGTGCAAACAGAACTTAAGAGCAGCCCATTCCAGCACAGAACCCTGGGCTATTGCCTCCCCTGTTTTGGTGCCTCTTTTCTCCAGGCTGAGCAGCAGTCTTTGGCAGTGCTGCTGGGCTGGACAGGACACCACAATAAAGACTCTGGTGTCTGCTAACAGTGGGACATCACGTGGGTAGTCTTGGTGTTTGGGCTGCAAGTCTCTGACCTATAGTATAAGTGTTCATTTATTTAATTAAATAATATCCACTGAAGTATAACAAAAAGATTCTGTGAAGTGATGATGTACCTGGGGCATGAAGGTGTGGTGGATCTCCAGCACTTTCAAAAAGATGGCCTGGAAGCGGGTCTTCATCATACCAAAGGCATGCTCAATAATGAAGTTTGTCCTGGCATGATCCCTGTTGAAGCGCTAGGTGACCACACCTCACACCGGCTGCTTATAGGGCGTGATGAGGGGGGAGTGGGTGCTAGAAGCACAGGTACCCATTGTCTGTGACAATGAAATGCCTTGGAGGAGGCTAGACCTTACGCCTGTACAGTGGCCTGTGCCGGAGTACCCTGGCGTCTTGCACAGACTCTGGCCAGCCCATGTATGTGTCAATGAAGCGGCCCTGATGGTCACAAACAGCTTGCTTTATGACAGATGAAAACATTTTTCTGTTTACAAAGCAGTGACCATCAGGGCCACTTGGGGGCTTAATTCGGACATGGCAGCCGTGGATTGCACCGTCAGCTTTGAGAAAAGCTTGGTGTTTTTGTGAATTGTGAGTTGAGGAGGTTAATGATACATGTATCTGCTGTTCACTTAACAGTCAGTGCAAGCTTCTCAGCTGATGTCAGTAAACAGAAAACTATTTTTAGACACCTATTAAAGCCTCAGGGCAGGTACATTTGGCAACTCAACCAGGAAGTCCTCCAGAGGGTAGATCGTCCCAATTCACAGAAGTCAATCCATCTCACCTAGGGTACTCAGGTGAAATGAAAGGGAAGTCAGACCCTGAATTGAGACAGAGGCTGTGTCTCGCTTATTATTTTTTTAATTGTGCGACCTTGCACAGACACAAAACAATAGATTCATACAAGCACAGATCATTTCCACAAAATTCATCCAATGATTGTTTTGTATGAAGGAGTATGAGGGCCATATTGAGAATTTTTTTAAAGACTTCGAGTCATGAATTTACGAGAATAATATCATTAATTTATGAGAATAAAGTCGTAAGGTTACCTGTTATTTCAGAGGAGAGTTTTTAAAATTAGGGCCATGAAGCATTTAAAAGAACTGTGCTTCAGTATAGGTTTCACAAACAAGGAGATACTTCATCCTCTGGCACATCAGCATCACATTGTCAAGACTTAAAAAAGAACATATGAGAAATTCGTCTTTTCCACGGGGAAAAAAAACAGGTGTACTTGAAGGAAATCGCTGCTTTTGTGGAGGCAGAAATGAATATGCTGAGGATATATCCGTTTATGCAGCCGTAAATATCCGTGAATGACATTGAGCTTTAGTTTTTGACATTAATCCATACGCCATGATAAGGCGTTGGTGTCTCTGCAGGTGTAGGTTACCGCCGTTGTCGGATCTGTGGTGCTCGTCGGAGCTCGACTCCCTCAAATGTTGATCATCAGTTGGATTGTTTCTTCAGAAACCACAATAACTCTCTGAATGACCCGCAGATACATCTACAGATAACCCTGCAGATGACCAGCTTCAGTCATTTCCCCCTCCACAACAGCAGCTTTATGACTTTATTTACTTTATGACTTTATTCTCCTAAATTTACAACTTTAATCTCTAAATTTAAAAAAAACAACAACAATGTGATCCTAAACTCTGCTGTAGTTTTGTCAGCTTTCTTATTTCTAATGTTTTTGATTGTTGTAGCAGAGCAGATCAGTTCGTCTCTAAATCTAACATGTTTGGTTTGCAGATTTTAGTGAGTTCAGAGATCATGCTCTCATACAGCCTGAGCTGACTGTCTGCTGTTTTTGGATTTCTTGTATTTTCTTAGAAGTCGCGCTGCGTCTCCAAGTGAGTCCAGCCTCTCATCTGAAATGTGCAGCTGTGCAGCGGCACGCAAAGAATTCTGGGATACCAAAGGCACATGCATTTATGCACGCTTGAAAAATTTGAAGCGCGCTTAGCATTTCGTGCCAAATGGGACACCGTTTGCGCCACCTGATGACATCATGCACGCTTCAAATGCACCGTTCAACGGTGCGGTCTCTGAAATGAGACACAGCCATAGCCAATGAGTCAGTAGTGGAAGCTGGAGCTCAAGAGTATATTTGAGCTTCCCTCACCTGTTCCAAATAAGGGCAATCAGGAACACACACACATACACACCTGGGCCTGCTCTCTGATGATCACCATACCAGAGTCTGAGAAGCAAAACTGAATCCCCCATACTTTGTGTGAATGTACCTGGTACATGTACCTGGTGAGCCTCAGCCACATCTCCTTTACTGCCCTCATATTTTGAATGTTTTGATTTGATTTGAAAATCTTTATGCCCCTAAGGGCAATTTGGTTTGCAACAGAGGTTAAATCACACATTTATACAAGTCTCACGTCACGGAAAGCATACAGGAGAAACAATACAAGCTCTCATCTTTGTTTTATAATTTTTATGAATCATTTCAGTAATATAATAATAAAACAATTATTTTGTTGTGAATTACGCCTCAAGCTCTTCTGTGTATATACATCAAACCAGTGTGCAATTTATACGTCAACCTTTTCTATAATACTTCACAGGGTGAAATTTCCAGGGTGGTGTCGTCTCAGATTGTTACCTATCCTCGTGCTGCCTCACTGAGTTTAGCTCAGGCGGGTGGTTGCTTTCCTTATCTTTCCCTCAAAACATAACACAGATCATAATTCAGATTCTGATTCATGAAAAAGTCACTTCATTCCTTATACATTTTCTTCACAATGTACAGTACATAGTTTCAAGAGGTCAATCTCATAACATGTTTCTTTTATTATCAGTTGTTTCTTATCCGCTATTATTCACAGCATAGTACTTGTTGATGTTCAGTCCCCGGTTGGTCCTATAGATGATGCCAGGAATGCTGTGTGACATAATATGAAACCAATAAATTCATAACCCTGCTTATGACCTGGCTTCTAAGTAAATACAGAAACCAGCAGACTCTAAATATTGGTCCCAAAATTATTTGAATGATTTATTTACACAGCTCACAATTGTGCCCATCAGCTACAAGGTTGACAGTACTCAAGTGTAAACTATATTTTTTCAAAGCCAATTTCAAGGTCAAATTAATTTCAAACGGGCCATTTTCATTCATAGTTAAGTTTAAACATTATGCTTCTTCCTGTTTGTTTTTGATAGATGCAGAAAATAACAGCTGTACCTGGGTAAGTACATCGTCTCTGAAACTGCTGTCAGTGTTTTCACCTCACTCAAACAATCCTTTCACACTAAAAAGCCCATACTGTGTTGGGTTTGAGGTTGCCAGGGTGAATTTTGGCAGCTATTTTAGATTTAGTCTTATTCTTTGGACAAAATGCCTTTAGCTATTCCAAGTTCCCTTTCAGTCGATTTACTCGGTAACACACATATAGTATGGGATATCACGCCCTTGCGTGGCCTGACTGAAGACACCTTTATTCACGCCTTTAAAGCAGATGATCTGTGGTGACGTCTGGGAGGCTCCGCCTGCACATATATACGTGTAACACCACAGTCATCCTTCAGTTCTTACGCTCTTTACCGTGCTGAGAACACCACCACCGAGTCGGGCTAACTAGCTGCTGCTAGCTCAGCCTGGTCTTGTCTGTGGCTATTGCCTGATCGATTTTA